AGTTGTGCTTTCAGCAGGCACTACCCACACTCATTCAAAGAAATCTTCATAAACATAAGTGATTTAAATCACTACGAAAAATATTTTTTAAAATCCTTGATGTATATTAAGTTTGCCATTTTTATTTCATACATTTCCTAAACAACATTTAGTTGCTGCTGTAACAATGAAGATAGATTGGTTTACAACTTAATTTTACTATCTTGGAGCATAATCCTAGGCCAGCCTTCCAGATGTGGTCACTTCTTAAACCTTACTAATCTGGTTTATTTGGGGAGAGATAAGTCATTATGTCCTGGTGTGGACATAATACCACACTAGGGACAGAGAGTCCCTGGCTTGTTTAGCCACTCCCACTGACAGGTGGAGCCAAGCAGGAAAGGACCAGCCATGTACACTAGCATGCTGGCTTACTTCTGATAACCGAGGAATTTCTGTCATGTGAGAATCCCCTTATGGTGTATCATAGTGCAGTGAAAAGTTAAAGAATTATATTAACATGTTGTGCTTCATCTATCAGACCCCAAAGCTCAACGAGCCTTTTATTTTGATTGCCAATTCTACTGAAACTATGTTGTTTCAAAATGTGCTAAATCACTTCTAGATAAGTGCTAAAAATGTATATACGCACTTCTAGCAAATGGTGCATATATACTTTTAGGCATGGGTGATGAGTCTGGCAAAATGTCTGTTTCCTCTGTCTAGATGACTTGCATTAAGTTGATAAGGGGAACAATTCAGAGCATGCTGGAAATACTTTAAATGCCTGACTTCAGTTACAAATTGCACTCCCTAACAGTTCTACTTCTAAAGCACACTTTTGTTTTAAAAGTTGCAGTTCAGAATCCCTGGAATCAGTTAAACAAATGGAACAGGACACGACAGGGATTGAGCCATAGTTTCAAAAAGTAGTTCAACATGATTGACCTGGTTCTCATGACCCAGCAGCCCTTGGGCCAAAGGACCCATGGGCTACCATGTATAGACAGGAGAAAGTATACGCCCTTCCTGCAGCACATTCACTTCTGTGTTTCCTTAGCAACCCATAGCTTGTTTAACCTATTATCTGAATCTGTAGTCCTCAGTTGTGTAGTGGCAAAACAGTTATGCAACTAATAAAAAAAAAAGGCATGGGTTAATTGTTAATGTTTAAGCCCCTGATCAACCCAGTGCTCCAGGTTTGAACAACAAATAAGCAACCTACAGTGGAACTGTTTGTAGGTAACTAAGGAAACTCAACAGTGGTGGGTATGTGGCAGGCATAGTGGGCAAGCTGCTTTTTTCCATTTGTCCCGTCTTGTGCAAACTGGTCCCAGTCTAACTTGAAGTCTCTAGACTTTAGAATTCATCCTTCCTCCTCTGTTTTGCCTACACTATTGCACATGAGTGTATGCGTATGCTCCTCTAAGCATTACTAGTTTCCTTTTTGTGAAATTGGCATTTCAATGTGCTGCGTGGAGGCAAATATGTGGTCTGGCATTTGGAACTTACACCTCACCGTGACTTTTTACTCTGTTTCTTGGCCAATTAACTTTTCTTTGAGCTTTACCAGTTTGTCTTTGATAAAATGAGTGTTAGAGAACTGGGGATTAAGAAGTAAGGGTTTGTATTCTGCAATTCATATTCCTCCTGTGCTTTGCATATGTTCCTTGGCCAGTTATTTTTCTTTTTGCTTCATTGGTTTGTCTTCTAGTCATGGCAGCTGTTTTGTGAGATGACCATGACACTGTCTCAAAATTCCCAGTGTTTCTACTGGCTGGACTTTATGGACCCCTGCTTAAAAGGACTGGAGAAAAATCTAGGGAAGTAACGGTGCCAGTTTAGTAACTGTGAGCATACAGGTGAACATCAAGAACTGAGGGTTTCCTCTTTTCAGCTGCTGTTAGGCTACTGTCCAGATATGGAAGTCTTTTCTTATTCCTGTCCTTTCACTGTGTCTCATACCTACTGGAGTCAGGATTTTCATTAAGGACTTAGAGCTGGTATGAATAAAAAAATGAAACAGGAAGTCTCAGTATAGAACAGTTTCTAGCTCTTGTTTGTCTCCTGGCAGCACTACAGTTTTTCCTAAGCACCTTGTGCGGCTGCCTTTGCCTGATGTGATGGGAGAGCTACCTTTCACTTGAGCAACCTGGATCTATCAGATATTTGGGAATTGTTAGTGATCCTGTTTGGGTCACTCACTGGCTAGCAATGATGTTTTGAATACCCACTTCCACCAGTCTCTGCAAGAAGATATATTTAGAAAGAATCACTTTCTATTGGGCAGGAGAAACTACAGGTTGCTCCTGTTGTTTCGCAAGCCTAATGTCAATCTTCTTTGTCTTGCCTCGGGGAAGCAGGTGGAGAGTACTACCATGGTGCCCTGTAAACATTATGCCCCCTCAAAGTTTGTTTGTTTGTTTGTTTTTGAGTATTTCACTTGAATCCTTAAAGGACACAGAGTAATCTTGGGGTGAGCACAAGGCTGTTTGCCCATCCCTGCAAAATGTGTTATTGTGTAAAAAGAGGTGGTTCCTGTCATTCTGGTGTGTAAGTGGCAGATTATCAGAAAAACAAATGACAGAATGATTGCTATCTCACTTCATCGCAGAGGAATAATGACCTCAAATACTTGATTCCTCACTCCCCCCGATTTTTTTAGGGGGGGATTCATACTTATATGAAGTGACCTTGTTTAGATAAACTGATTTTAAGAAAATGGTTTACAACCTACAAACTACTATTTCCATTTTTATGGAGATTTCTATTTTATATACATTGCTAATGTATTTCCTAACTTTGCTTTGTTTTTAATCAATTCTCTTTTTGTCTTAAACATTTGCATTCATATTTTTATGCATTTCTGCCCATTTCCCACCCAGTCAGTTTAATTTTGCAGGAAACAGTGGAATGTTGCATCTTGACAGATTTAACTGGTTAGAGAGTTCATATTTCCCACTCCAGTCTTCCTAAAGCATAACAGATGTTGGTATCAAAATTAATACTTCCACTGTAGGAGAAGCAGTGGCATGGCGGTTTAATGACACTGGAACTGTCGACCAGAAATGGTCGGCACTCCAGTGGTTTGCCAGTGAGCTTCCGTCATTCGCCCCAGCTCCTAACCAACCTAGCAGTTCGAAAGCATGTAATGTGAGTAGATAAATAGGTACCACCTTGGTGGGAAGGTAACAGCGCTCTGTGGCATCATGCTGGCCATGTGACCATTGGATCGTCTTCAGACAGTGCTGCCTCATGGCCTTGGAAACAGAGATGAACACCACCCCCTATTGGCTGCTGGCTAAGCGGAGTAAAATCCACAGGGACTCCTTTACCCTTTACTGAAAGCTAACCAAGAGTGCAGTCCTATGCATGTTTGGACCTAAATAAATAAATAAGACCTGAAGTACCTATCCATCTGAGAATTGTGGGCCCTATTTCTGGGAGCGTGCATAAGAGCATGCCCTGAATTGATTAAGTGGATTTAGTGCTCATCAGCAGGAATGGGCAAGGCATTCTAACGAGAGTTTGTTGGCTGAAGTGCAAGAGGCTCAGCAGGCCAATTCCAAGAAAGAAGGAGGACCCTGGTGGTCACATGGGAGGGATTCTGGTTGGGAGAAACAGGGAAGGAAGAGATGGGCCACCCTAGAGGAGCGTTCATTGTGCTTGGGCTGTGGTCAGAGAAGGAGCTGAAGAACCCACGAAGTGCTCTTTTTCATTCAGTTACTCCTAAAATCATTTTAAAATTAATTCTCCCTTGTTTAATGGTTAATTATACATATTAATTATTTATATTAAATAAATTTATTGAAAACACTTTGATTTATGAAATGGAAATGTAATTCATTGTGGGGCCCACTAGTTCTTTGTCGAAGTCCTCATGCAGCCCTCCAGGTACAAAAAATTGGACTGCTCTGAGCTAACTGAATTACTAGATTGTTCCCAAAGATAAGACAGTCAAATCTTACACTGTACAGACTTCTTGTCTGCTGCATTCCTACTAGTATTATATACTGTTACCTTTCAGTTACATTGGGCTATTCAGTGTATTATTTTTGCATCCCTCAAATTAAAAACATTGAGAGGCATTTCTGCTATTTCAATTTTTGTCATCACTCTGCCTTTAGGTTTGCATTCATAATGGTATTTGTATGGGGCAGGGAATTTGTTTAACAGTGCAGAAGAGGATAGGAGCATACTGTAAAGGTGGCATGAACACGTTTAATTATTGCAGTTATATGTAGCTCTTGAGAACAAGCTTCTGACTGCATGATCATCAGAGGCATGTAAGAGACACCTGTAGGAAGCCAAGCAAGAAAGCTTTTGTAAATGGGGAGTGAAATGGTTCTGTTTTAGGTCATCACTGTCCTGCAAATAAAATAAGTATGGGTGGGAGGGGGAAGGCTCACAGCGTCTCTGCACATACTTGCAAGCCATTATAGTGGCAATACGTAGAAACATAGAAACAGAGTGAGTCAGAAGGGGTCTCCCGGGCCATCTAGTCCGACCCCCAGTGTGTGGAAGACTATTTGTGAACATTCCTATGGTCAGAATAGCCTGATATATGATGGGAGACTGTTGGGTATTGTGCATTCTCTTGTTGATGACAGTATCCATTCTTGGGGTATAGACTTTTTGGGCTGTGGCAGAGAGTTGTTGAACTGATTTTCTTGAATGTGAATGCAAGCTAGTGGCTGGTTTGTATATTTTAGCATTTGCAAGTGCCTCTGATATGATTTAAGCTGCTTCTAAAGGTCTGGTGCCTTTTTCATAATAAACATTCCGGATATGTACCCTCTCCTGTTATGCTGGTACAAACTGTTTCTTCCAGGACAGCTTTATTGAATTCAACTAAATTACATGAGAATAAATGGTCACTCATAGCTTACTCTTCCCACCAATGTAATTTGTGGAATTGAACTAAGTCCTTTACTTACGTTAACCTGTGAACACATTCAGGGATTATGCTACATACCTATAAAGCAACATTTCTCTTCTCTCCCCACCCCCTTATTTTACAGCTGAAATACTTCTTGGGTATATTGCACAGTGATGGAATAGCAACTTTAAAATGATGTTAACGCGACATTAAGAGGATAAAACTTGAGGTAAGAATGTACACTTTGAAGCAGCAAATTATTCGAATAACTTTTTTGCTCTATTCTTTTCTAATAATTTTTGTTGTCATATACATTAGAGAGCAGAAAGTGTTTGTGGCTACTTTTGAATTCTTCTTTTGTAAGATCAGAGGCACCATTTCAGGTGAGGTGAAACATTGCAGGGATATTTTGACAGTAGAGGGAATATTCTTAGCAAGGTTTCCAGATATGTTTCTGGATATAATCAAAACTACATTGCAGAAAGGCTATTTTAACAGCATTTCTGTGGTTAATTATATTTTATATTTATTTTATTATGATTCTTAAATATAACATTCTTATCACTAGTCTCTCCTCTCCTAACTCAAAAAGATTTATGCTTTATCATTCTTACCTCCATTATAAGCCCTATTAATGTTTTGTAATTATAATCCAGATGTGAGGAACCTGTGACATTCTAGGTGGTGTTGGATTACAGTCCCCATCATTCCTGACCATTGAAAATGCTGGCTGGGGCCGATGGAATGTTGGATTCCAACAACATCTGGAGGGTCACAAATTTCCAGCTCCTGTTATAGTCAGTCAATGCGTTGAATTGAGTAGTCAGCCAAAAATACTGGTGTTCCTGTGCTTACATACACATGAATGACTCTCCTGATGGTATCTCTCCAGAAGATGCCCTTTGAGTCCTACAGCTGATATGTAAAAGTAGTGTAACACTGTTATTGTAATGCAATGTAAAAAACATGGACTTTAAAAAATGTGCTTTGAATAGTATTTACATGGTTTAATTTTGAGGGTTGTCAGTCACTTAAAGCTATTTCTATGTTTGGAACATTCACTGTGATAATATTTGAGAAAGAAAATTAAAATTGAACACCAGAAGTGTAATAACCTTCATTCCAGAGCCTGTGGCCATCAAGCTGGAAGACTTCTGATGCTTTCTTTTACAAGTTGAGTGTGGTTCTGGATGAAGAGAAGCATAATTAGTTCTTGGAGCTCTTCCTTAATGCCTCGTGGTTATTGCTAGAAACAGGAGTGTTGATAGCAAAGGAGGTAATGTTTCTAGGGCAAGAGCCTTTAATGGGTTTGCTTCTCCTAAGAAGCAAACTTCTAACCACTGCACTGGATGAATATTTGTATATGTATTCAAGATAAGTGAATCTTATTAAGCAATTTGGGCCTTTTTAGGTTATAGGACACAGCAGAAAGAGACCCTCAGTTTTTGAATAATATACACAGTTGAAACCTTACATGCTATTTTGCGTAGGAAAGTATCTTGATAAACAGAATATAAAATCAGACACAATTTTGGCAGGCTTTATTCTCAAAGTGACCCATACCAAATACCTTCATGTACATGGCTGAAAACAGTGCTATTTTGTCTGGGCTGAGACTAATCAAGTGTTTTAGTCTCTGAACTATCAAGAGGCAGTTCAACATTGCAGTTGTAGTGCCCTTGAAATATCTGTATCCTACACCCTAGTTGTGATTGTGGAAGGATAGTGTGTGATCCCAGCCTAACAGCTTTATTCCACAAAACAGAAATGCAGGTAAGCTCCAGGTGAGGCTGAGCCAGGTTAACTGCACCTGGCCTTTGACTGCTCAGTTCTTCAAGCTTCTGTGTTGTTTTTCTCCCAGAGTTGCTTTGCCACTTGGAGATGTATCTGTTGACACCTGTCTGGTTGCTGTCCCTCCTAGCTAGCTCAGTTTGATGTAGTTAGATTGGGCTCTGTCCACTTAGTCTCCTGGCTTGTCCTTGGGCATAGCTGATGAGAACCTCAACGCAAGTCATAGCACCCCTTCATATGAGCAAGGTCTGCTGCTCAGCTTCTTCCTTCTTAAACACTTTTATTCTCTGCCTCTTCATTTCTCTTAATATGCTTCATCTACTTTCCTGCATATACTTGGCTTCTAAGCATTTCTTAACTTCTGCCCACCACAGTCCTCTTATTCTTGCCTTGAATTAGCCTTCCAAGTTTTGTTCTGCTTCTGGATTCCATTTCTGGGTGGTTCTTTCAACTCAAGTCTCACATCAAGTAAGAACATGTGCCACATCAGCCAGCCTTTTGTACTTACTTAGCAAAGTTTATTCTTTCATGTACAGATGAAACTGCAGCATTTGGAATGCTATCCGAGCTTCAGAGGAGGCCAACATTTTATGTATTGTTTTAGAGTGAAACATAAGGTGCAATTTATTTGGGATCATGATGTTGCCGGGTAATGTGACACTTTTGGAATGGGATTGGAAGGAAAGAATTGAGAAAGCCTGAATAGTTAGGTACTAAACTGCAGTGGAATTGGGTTGTTTTTAATAATTAGGTGACTGTTAACCATGGTTGTAATTGTGGGTGATAGTAGTTATTTTAGATCAGCTTGTTCCTGCAATGCAATTTCTGGGTGTAGGGACAACATCAGAATTAATTTTGAAAGAGACAGTTTCTCAATACAAATAGCATGCCTGAAATAATTATGTACTGCATGGTTATCTTCTTGCAATGATTGTGAACACTTAACCGTGCCTCTTTTATATAAGACTCTTTTGCGATAAGGACATTCAAAAATGTAGACACTTTTGTTGAATTTTGCTTTGTCCTAATAAAGGTACTGACCAACAATGATTTATGTTTTGTTTCTCACAGACCAGTGAAGCTATTTGTGTTTTTTAATATATCATTATGAAAATAGTGTTTTGTTCCAATGGTTCAGTCTAAATAGCAACAGCCCCAGTTACTCAACTTCACTACAAGAATGGTTCTGCTATTCTTATGACATACCCAACATTTTATTCTCTCCACATATACATGTAATAAATAATTTGTATCCTTTCCTATGGAATGTTTGCAGTTCACTACAACCTCTTAAGAGAACTTCATGTTTTTTTAGCTTGGAGGTGGGAGGACTTCAGACTTTCAGGATCTAATTTGGGTTTTCTTTAGTTTAACCTGTGATCTGCCAACTAGACTCTGGTGCAAAAAATTAAAGAATTCTGGGCCCAGGAATTTGTTTTGTCAGTGTGCTGGTTGGGGTAGATAAACAGTATGTTGAACATAAAGAAATGGAACAAGATAAACCTTTACAAGACGCAGTTTGTAACAACACTGTAGAGGGAGGTATTATTGCATGTTATTCATCAGGCCAGCCTAGAAGTAGTGATTTTGATGGTTTATATCTTTACTCCATGTCCAATTTTCCATGTTATATAACATCCCTGAGCCTGTAACATGCTCAACCATCAATTACATGAGCAAATGTTTTCTTTACCACAAGCAGTCTGCTCTTGGTCATGCAGCCTAAAATATAATTTTAACTTTTTTTAACAATGGCTCAGAATCTGTCTTTGTAGAGATCTTTCGAGGCAGGAGACTTGCATACAGGAGTTTTATTTATTTTTTTCAGAATGAATGCTGCTGCTTTTGATCTACATTAATCTGAACAGTTCATCTGTTTTGTTCTAACCCCAATAAATTTGTTCTAGTAGTAGTTACATTGAGGTTAAGATATACTGTGACTTATAGGATATCTGTCCAGATACTTAGGTGTTTCTGACATAAATATCTTCAGGCTACAACAGCATTCAATTGCATAATCTCTTGGATTATTTTTACATGGATTGATTATATAGCATGCATGCAAGTCCCCTCTAAGCTCTTCAGTAATAGTACATAGACAAATCTGAAATAAAGACAGAAGCCAACATGTTATTTTGCAAATATCTACAAACTTCATATATTCCATTGTTTACTTAGGTTCCTTTATACAGAATTAAACAAACTGTTTACATTTTATAACATGCAATCCCTAACCCCCCCCCCTCAGTACTTGCATGATGCTTCTGCAAGTCTTGATGCTGAGGTAATATCCCACCCCATTCAGTAGACAAGAATGTTTTATCTTCAGGTTAATTCACTTTGTTGTTGTGTGTGCTTTCGTGCACATCATGGGAGTTCACCAAGAGTAACCTTTACACAGTGGTGGGTCTTGGGATAGGGAGAGTTTTCCTGCTGTTCTTTGCTACCGGAGGAGAGCTCTGAATGAATGCTCTAGCGCTGAGTTTATAGTATGATAATTAGCAGTTGTGGGGAAGGGCCAGTAAAGGAGGCATTACTGAATACTGAAGGATTGTGCCCATAGGCCTATTTGGAACCTCTGTTTTATGCAGTGGGGGAGCTTACCCCATTGTATAAGAAAGGGTACTATCTATGTGTTGGGATGATGGTTGTGTGCTGAGGGCTTAACAAATTCTAGTATTCAGGAAAGGCATTTGGAGTGCAGCCAACAAATAACACATACATTCATTGCATGAAATACCTGTGTAAGGGCCTTACTTAATTTGAGACATATTACAAGATGTTCTGGACTCTTTTCAGGTTATTCTCTATATTTCACCACAGCTTCTCATGGAAAGGCCTAATATCTATTTTTCCTCTTTTTTGGTTTTTACATACTTTTGTGAGATACTTGACAATGGGAACAATAATGTATCCACTGTACCTGTGCAGTGATTCAGATAGGCTTTTATGAAAAAGCTTGGTCAAATCCCAAAAGTTAGTTCCACGTACTTTCCTGAGCATGCTGTGACTTTGCACGGTCATTAAATAGCAGCCATAGCCCTCCTAATTCCTTGGCATCATCCTATTGCTGGCTCTTCCCCAGGCTGCTATACATGCTTCAGCTGAGAGTATTCTTTATACCTGCTTCCTGGGGAAGAGCTAGACACAGGATGCTGCAATTAAGGCACGTAAGGGATTTGGCTGCTATAGAATTGCCCTTGCTGGGTCACTGTGTGCTCTAAAATGAAGCGGTTGGTAGAGGAGGACTGTTATGAAGACTTACGAGAGCTTCTCTATGAGCAGAGGGTGGAGGATTATACCCTGTGAGACAGTTTTCTGGTGGTACTTGGAAATATTCAGCCTTAGCAGCAGATTGCCATGCTCAACTTGGGTGGCACAGATTGTTGGAATAACAACCTTAAATTACTCTAGGAGAGAGCATGGTTTGTCTATTCA